CCCCCCCCCCCCCCCCCCCCCCCAAATGCACGTTCTCAAAGCACCTCCGAAACCCCACCAATACATATCGATCTCCCTCCTCCTCATCGCAACAATCCATTCTAACTCCCCTCATCAGTTCCGCGTCGCCGCCACCGAACTCAAAGCCCGCTTCGACTACGGCATGCAATTCAACCCCGAATTCAACGCCACCTTTGCCCGCACCGGCGCCCTCCTCCAATACGGCCTCATGATGTCCACATTCGGCAACACTCTGACCGGAGATGGTAATGTCTCGTTGATTCGCTACTGGATCGAGAAGGAGAGATTGCCGTTGGAATTTGGCTGGCAGCCTTCCAAATCGGAATTGAATTTGCCGGAAAATTCGCTGTTGGCGGGGAATATTTCGGAGATTTGGGATGAGTTGTGATGGTGATGAAGGGGAGATGGGATGGGTGGTGGTGGGAGATGATGGGGGGATGGGCGGGTGGATCGAGATATGTATGTGTGTGTATGATATTGATCAGATTGTTCTTCCGATTTGCTATCTGTAGGGCTTTTCATTCTTCGGTACAAGGCTATATGGGAAATTATAAAGTCTTGTATGCCGAAGGAAGTTTCGACTACAGCTCCAGTCAATCGAGTGTGGTGTCGCTTCTCCTTCGGCATACATCCGTGACAGCCTGAGCTTAGGGTTACCTAAATATACCAGTGGGACGATAGCGACGAAGAGGTCCTAGGAGTCAGAGATCATCTGAGTAGACGGGATAGGTCTTTCCGGGTTCTTGAGAATGATCAGGGGGTTATAGGGGAGTTGGGCAAGAGTGTAGTTGCAGATTCTGGAAAATCTGAATTAACGATTTTTTAGAAAAAGGCGTTTCTCGACAATTGTTACAAGACTTCGTTGTGCTGAACACCGTTTCTCTTGCCACTTCTCCTACTGTACAAAAAGAAACTCTCGAGAGGTAGTCCGGTTGGATCGATATAGGGTCCAACGAAGTGTTTACCTACTGAGTTAAATGTATATACCAAAAAAAAGGTATACTTGAAGTTCGAGCCAGACTCTAGCTGAGTGAGTCTCTACTGCCACCTCCACTACTACCGCCCCTACAGAGAGCGAGCGCGAGATCACGCGTAAACTAAGTACTATTGGTATACCTCTTTTTACTCATACCTACCTTATTGCACGATTATATATCTGCTACATTTGCTCAATCTTCGAGGTAATCCAATGCGAGCGGCGAGACGCCAAGGCAGTTGGATGAGAGACGGCCTTTGAGTAATCTCTTATGCGGATGCTCTCGTGTTAAGACTGGCCTTACTCCGAAATAGTCTGATCAGATGAAGAGTACACCAGGTTTGCACGTGAGCTGTGAGAATGTGGATGGAACACAACAGCGTCTGTCGGTGTGTAGACTGTAGGGCGGAGTGCGGAGTATCAAGGTCCCAGCACTTTGTCGCTTACCATTACCAATTGACCCCACTTCAACATGTTGCCAATGCGCCGCTGAGAAAGTGACCGACGTCGCTCTCTACCGATATCGCACCACCTCAAGACTCGAAGTCGGCTGGCTTGGGGACAATGTCCTGGCACTCCCAGCAGCAAGCCTTTGACGCGCCGCAGTCCATTGCGGGTCTGGTGTCGCCGCAGCAAGTCCAGTCGCCCATCGTACACACCTCATCGCCCGACAGAAAGAGGAAGCGCACCTTGACCGCCTCCGACCTCGACCACATCCGCGACGGCGATCACAACGGCCTACAGGCTCATGCCGATACCAGCAGTGTCGGCGGCGGCGGCGGCGGCGGCGGCGGACGGGGCAGCGTGAGTCTCGCGGGCAGCCCGAGTCAGCAGAATGGCAGCAAGGCACGCCACCAGCCTGGCGTGAAGAGGGCGTGCAACGACTGCCGTCAGCAGAAGGTATGGATCTCTTACACCGAAGCTGCTGAAGCTGCCGGGCAGACGTGCCTTGTACCGGTACACTTCCACTGACAGGTGGTCTAGTTACGGTGCAATGTCGTCGCAGGACCAGGCGAGCAGTACAAACCGTGCGACCGGTGCGTCAAGCATGGCCTCAGCTGTAGTATCGACGACGGCTTCAAGCGACTCGGCAAGCGCGCTGCGCACGAAGAGATGGTCCGAGAGTTGGAGCAAGTCAAACATCGATTAGCGCGATATGAGTCTCTGGGCATGTTCCTGCCTGAAGAGACGCCTGGCTCGGCCTACACTGGCAGCTACCAGGCTTCTCCCGCTGGTGGTGCGCCGGCCGCTGTCATTGGTGGCACTGGATTTGGCTTGGGAGCAAGTGAAGCAGCCGCCTCTAGGAGTCTACTCGACCTCAGCCAAGGCTATCGCGAGCTGCCTGCAACAAGCATGCCCTCTATCACTCCGGGGACATCATTGACCACACTCGGCAGCAACACGCTGACCGAGCAGCAGCTCACAGACCTCTACGGCATCTACTTTGAATCATACCACCCCTTCCTGCCTGTTCTCAACCCAGATCTGGATTACAAGACGTACTACGACGAACACCCGCTGCTGCATTGGACCATCGTTGCCATTGCTGCTCGGCGACAGGAGTTCAAGCCCGGCCTGTTCATGGAACTGCATCGACCACTGGAAGAACTTCTCTGGACGACTCTGTCGCAAGTCCCGCAGTCCTACCACGTGGTGAAGGCACTGGCACTCTTCTGCACATGGCCACTGCCAACTTCTTCGACCAGTCAAGAACCGACCATGATGCTCTGTGGCATGATGTTCCAACTCGCCATGCAGCATGGTTTGCATCGCCCCTCTCACGCCCAAGACTTCAGCCGGTTCAGCGTTGAGCTCCGCGACGAGGACGTCGCAGACAGATTAGACACATGGGCAGCCGTCAATGTGGTAGCGCAGAATGTGAGCACCGGCAACGGTCAACCACCGCTTGCACGTTGGGCGTGGTTCACATATGGTCTGCATCTGGGCCGTATGAAGCCTGAGCTACACACGCGTTGCCAGATTGAGAAGTTCAACGATACTGTCACGCGCACGCTATATACTATGCAGCGTGATCATATCGTCGAAGTCGATCAAGCTCAACGTGGGCTCCAAGTCGACATGTACGCCCGAGAGCTGGGAGAGCTCGAGGTCACAGTCTTATCCACCACCAAAGCTGGCCAGTCGCGGAAGGGTATGTGGCTGCGCTCTATGCTCTTCGCGATTCGTACTGACTGGATTTGTAGCACTCGAAGTCCTTTTCCTGAAAGCCGCCGCACTTCACCTACGTCTTACAGCATTCTTCGACAAACCGAATCAGCCCAACTACCACGCTGACCTTAGAAATGTCTATATTGCAGCTTCTGCGCTCCTCGAACATGTTAGTGATATGAAGCCAGCCGAGTTTGCTTTCGTCCCCAGATACATCGAGCAAATGATGCTCGCCGCATCTGTGACCCTATTGAAGATTCTCAATTCATTCTATGCGAAGCACGTGGACACCGTACACGGGAAGACTCTCTTCACGCGCGCGGTCGCCGCCCTTCGCACCCTGAGTGTGCGCGGAAACGACCTTCCACAACGTCTGGCAGAGGTCATGGCGCAACTATGGATATCCAGCGGCGGAGGCGATCAAGATATGTTCTCGACCGATCCTGCAAACGATATTGGAGACAATAGTCTTTCCCTCAAAGTGAGATGTCGATCTTCCTTGTCGGTCCTCTACGACGCGATCTGGCGTTGGCGCGAACGTGCTGGACAAGCTGGTCGCGATAACCTGGTCAATGATATCCAGCACCCAACCACTCTGAGCGAGACAAGGCGCAACACGCCACAGCCAGGTACCAATGCTTTGGCTGATGTTCATTTGACACAGCCCATGGCGGGTCTTCCCCAGCTAGCTCAGTCGAATGACCTCGACGCGCTGAACTGGGATCAGACATTTGGCGGTAATGCCGTTTTTGATCCTCTCTCTTGGGCTTTGGATGGTAATATCATGGGTCTGACGAATCCCCTGTTCAGTCACAACGACGGACTGGGTATGAATGGATATCAAGGCTAGGTAGTTAGTAACCCGAGTATCCCAAAAGGACCTCGAAACCGCTCAGAAATAGACAGGAATGCGAAAGCAAAAATGACCTCCGAAGAGAGGTACGAGATGTAAAACATCCTTCTTGACTTGCGTGTCAACCAAAAGTCACGCCAGCTTCATCTCTTTGTGCCCCGATGGCTTTCTTATCCTCCTTGATCACCAAAGGGTGACCCTGCTTCACCTCCCAAGGCCATCATCCATAGAAAAACATGTCTACCAACGAATTTTCTTTTTTTTTTTTTTTTTTCACTTAATGTTTCTTGAAACAGCATGGCGGGTGTGCGTGCGTGAGAAAGAGAGAAAGAGAGAGAAAGAAAGAGAGAGAGAGAGAGAGAGAGAGAGAGATGAAAAGAAAAACAGGTCAGACTGCTAGTCGCCTCGCAGCGTACATAACATAACGAAATGCTCTAACCGTCTAAAAATTCGGGATTTCTATTACAGTTCTTTACCCTCACCCTCCCCAAACCATCGCCCATCTCATCTCGCTCGAGTCGTCGTCATCGACAAGGGCCAAGATGTCCCTCTCGATGGGCTGGACGACCTCGTGGGAGCCAGTGACGGGGCCGCCGACCGGTTATGGGCCATGTGTGCCTTTACCAAATGCCCGGCAGCAAGAGCTGAACATAAACTCAATTCACCGGCCAATACACCTGCAGCGATGATCCTCGCCAATTGTTGCGAATTTGCTCCGGGTGTGGTGGGGTGAGCGCCTCTGACGCCTAACAAGTCAAGCATGGCGGCTTGGGGTTCGAGGACTGTGCCGCCTCCTATTGTGCCGACTTCGATCGAGGGCATGGAGACGGTGATTTGGAGGTTGCCGTGGAGACTATGGGAAAAGGGAGTTAGTTACAGTTTTGGGATGCGAGATGGGGAGACGGCCAGAGAAGAATAGGGATAGGGATGGGCGAGCAACTTACTTCTTCATGACAGTAATACAATTACTGCTCTCCACATTCTGTGCCGGATCCTGACCCGTGGCCAAGAAAATCGCCGTGACGATATTCGCAGCGTGGGCATTAAATCCGCCAATGCTACCAGCCATGGCAGAGCCAATCAAGTTCTTGGAAATATTCAACTCCACCAAGGCATCAACGTTCGATTTGAGGACATCTCGTACCACATCGCCGGGGATGATGGCCTCGGCAACGACAGATTTGCCTCTTCCATCAATCCAGTTGATAGCAGCAGGTTTCTTGTCGGTACAAAAGTTTCCCGAAACGGATATAATGGCCATATCGCTGAAGCCCGCTTCGGTAGACATGACGCCGAGTGCCTTTTCCACGCCTTTCGAAATCATGTTCATGCCCATGGCGTCTCCCGTGGTAGTCTTGAAACGAACGTAGACATATGTGCCAGCGATGGACGTCTTGAGCGATTGGAGTCGAGCGAATCGAGAAGTCGAATTGAAAGCATCCTTCATCACTTTCTGACCATCTGCACTGTCGAGCCAGACTTTGGCTGCTGCTGCTCGGGTGAGTGTCTCGAAGCCGATACAGGGTCCACGAGTCATGCCATCTCCGGTCAGAACAGTGATGCAGCCACCACCAGCATTGATGGCCTTGGCACCTCTGCTGGTACTCGCCACGAGCACTCCTTCGGTGGTGGCCATGGGGAGGAAGTAGCTTTTGCCATCGATGGTCATAGGTCCAGCGACACCAAGAGGTAGAGGCATATATCCGACCACATTCTCACAGCACGCTCCATGCACCCGGTCATAGTCGAAGTTTTCATAAGGCAATAATGAGCGCTCCAACTTCGCGGTGAGATCAGCAGTGGCAGGTGTGCGTGAGATGAGTGATCTTCGGATCTTGACCGCTCGGGTCTTGTCCTCGAGAGTCTTTTCCAGAGCGTAGCCAGGTATCTTTCCGCGGACAGCAAGGTCGACAAGCTCTGCATCGTTCAGTTGGGGGGCCTGCTTGGCTCTCAGCATCGCTTCGCACTCTTCTCGTGTCCGTTTTCGTGAGCCATCGAGCGCAGTAGGCGACACTGGCGGAGCCACCTCTTCGACGGGCTTGTGAGTCTTGATAGGGGACGGCACATGGCCATTAGCCTTGGGTGCCTCTGTGACTGCCTCCTCCCTGTCGGTATCGTCCTGTCCGGGATCTTTGATCGTCCACCGTGCAGCATTAAACAGATAGCCATTCAGGACCAAGCTGATTGCGAGAAGAGAGATGACCCATTTGCTGAGAACAGGGTCTTCAAAGCTCTTGAGCAAGCTTTCGACCACTCTGCCTCCTAGGGCTTGGAACAGTCCCTGTGGGAAATCTCCATTGACACTCGTCCAATCATCCGATAGAGCAGCATAATGTACCGAGGGATATTGCAGGTCGTACTTGATAGGATTGAACACTGTCACACTCAGCGGCTGCTCGGATTGGTGTGCCTCCTGGTGTAGGAAATCAAGTCCGTTTCCTGCTACCTTGAATGGATCCTGAGGGGGCGAAGATACCACGCTTGATAGACCAGCTGTCGTAACAGGAGGCACGTGGTGGCGATGTCCCCGGAACGGCATCGTACACAGATTCGCAACGTTGATGGCAATGAATCCCGTCACCATAAGAAGCTTGAATCGTGGAACACTACTGTCGCGAGCCTTTCTCCCGAAGATGTTGATCCAGTTGTTGTTGTCACCGGCATCCCCCAGCTTGTTTCCATTGGGCCACTCGTTGCTCGATGCCACTTTCTCGGCGACTCTGCGGCTGACGCCATCTTCCTCAAGGGCCTTGCGCAGAGCGACGTGACGCTTGATTCGGTTAATCTCCAGCTTGATGGTCAAGATGGAAGTGTAGAAGGTGAAGAGCAAGATGCAATCGAAGAATAGTGTCCATGCTGCCAGGAAGCAAAATTGGCGGAGACCTCCTTGGATTCCCGAAGCAGCGCCAGCGCACAGAATGGCGATCTCGATGGCGTAGTCGCGGACAATCTCGAATCCTCGTTCTCGCACGGCTTGCTGGACAGCGTTCTGGACCGCGTTCTGGATCGTGAGACCCTCCCCGTTGGCAGCGCTATTCTTGGCTTGGACAGAAGCGGACAGAACAGCTTGGGTGAGCATGATGGGTTTCTCGAAGCCGACGGTGACGACGAGGAAAGGGATGCCCTCGGATAGCAAGACGACGTTCTCCGGAACACCTAGTTTGAGTGTTACCAGTAGTCCAAAGAGGAAGGCAAAAGCCGAAGAGAAGAGGGTGGTGGTGCCGAGCCAAAAGTTGGAGCCCAGTCTGCGCATACTCAAGAACAGGCTGATAAAGGTCAAGTACATGGAAAGGTAGCCCAGAGTCATGATGATGATATCCAGCGTCTCAGCATTCTTCAATAGGTCCAGAAAGGCGCTCCACGAGTTCTGCGCCCATTCTACCATACTGCCACTGCCCGATGCAGCGGGTGTCTTTGCCATGGTCATGAGCCATTTCTTCTGCTCTCCCTCCTCGTCATCATCATTCGACGCGCTAGAATCTGTTTCCCATCCTCCCTCGGCAGAAATCTCCCTCGAATGCTCCAGGAAAGAGGCAGCTTGGTCCAGCGGCAGCGAGAAGACCAGAGAGCGGGCAGAAGAGAGGCCAGAGAGGATATTCTCACTCGGCGGCAGCACGTTCAAGTCCACCCCATCCACATCGAAATCCTGCGGCGAAGGCACGGCCTTGGGTGATGCATTTCCCGTGTCCAAAAAGTCCAATGTCACCAGCGCCAGCTCCTTTTCGCGCGCACGATACACCTTGGGACTCCCATTCTCTTCTACCTGCCACTGCCACGCGGTATCCTGACCCAAATGTAGCCTCCTCGTCCCTGCCGACAGCGCGTTGAAGTCGACCTTGTTGGCGGCGGTCTGAGGGCGAAAGAAGCCCGTTTCGAGCAGATTAACGTAGAAGGCACTGGCTAGAATGGCAACGAGGGCAATCGTTCGAATGGGGTGCGTGCATGCTTTCCGGGAAGCGGTTTGCAAGTAAGGTGTAATCGCAGCATTGTATTTGGCAGGCTTATTGGGGTCGGTGATGTTGTGGGATCTCCGCCAGCGCGTGGGCACCAGATTGCCGAGCATGTTGAAGCTCGTGAAGGGTGAAGAGGAAGCAGAAGAAGCAGAAGCAGAAGCAGAAGAAGAAGAAGACGGGAGTATTGAGAGAGTTGTTGGTTGCCTGCGAGCGACGGCGCTCAGCAGAGCAGTGGCAGAGCAAGGCAGAGCAGTGCAGTATTCTTGTAATTTGTAGAGTATTGCACGGTGACGGCGCGTGTTTTGGTCTTCCGGGCCGTGCCTCCTAACGTGAATAATGGGTCAGGGACAGGGTAGAAGAAGCAGAAGAAGCAGGGAGGGCAGGCTAAGCAGTGTCCAGTAGGGGGAGGGGAATTCCCAGTTCTACCCTTGAAAGTGAAGGGCGATTACGGGGTTCGTAACGTTTGTTTATTCGATTGCGGGCAGCGGCGGTGCCAGCAGCCACAGTGACAGGCAGCAATTTCGATGATATTGTTGATTGTTCTGTCCCGTCATCACTTGTAACCATTACTTACAGTCAATTGTCTCAACCCCCCTTTCTTGCGATTACAATGGCCTTTTGTTATCGCCCTTTGATAATCTCCATTCCCCCTTCTACAGCACAAATCGGTCAAATCCGAAAAGAAAATCGAACCACCTGAAAAATACACCTGCACCCACAATCCAAAACAAGGCGGACCCTGCAGCTAAGCTACAGTGTACAACTTCTTGGTACATGTAGATTCCACTTCCACTTCCCCGTCCAGTCGACGTCACTGAACACAACCACTAAAGAAAAAAAAGTGTCTTGCCGAATGCTGTGACTGGATGCCCTGATTGAACTAGATTTACAGGAATTTTTCTCGAACACGAACGATATTGATGATTTAGTTAGTCTAGTCGTCACCTTAGCTACAAGACTACATCTTCACTTCTTCACATCGTTCAACGCACTAATCAGGCGGGCTAGGAAAGGAAAAAGGCCGAATTGTGAAAGAGAAAATGCCAAGGCTCGCTGATGTTTTCGATTTGTGGAGATTTGCCCGTTGACGGGAGAATACATAGTAATGTAGTAGTTATGTAGTTAGGTGACATGAATGATAAGATGAGACTCGGTTTACACGAGTTATTGCCGATTGACTAGGTCGCAGAACCACCCACCTTAAGGTACTGTATACATACCTACCCACCTTAGACATGTCGTATTATCTATCCCACAAGGCGCAGTAGTAGGCAGACACTCCATTCTCGACTCAAAATACCGCGGTTTTCCTGTTGGCCAGCAAAAAAAAAAAAGACCGGACAAGTCTCTATCTACATTAGTGCTGACCCTTGTACAAACGAGGTTTGCGGGGCGCGCTGGCTGTGTTGCGATAAGGGACGCATACGAAGGGAGGCGGTGACGAGACAGGCAACGGAATACTACCTAAAGGTATACCATATCATACCATACCTGTACCACACATGTAGGTACTGTATAACTTTTTTGGTGGTTGCATATGATGAAGTGAGATTTCATCATGTCCGGCTAATGCTAACGTATTGTCGTGTGGCTGAGAGAGGATTTGTTCTGGTTGCAGATGTTGCTGCTGCTGGCTTCTTTGATGATATTCACTATCGTACGATATTCATTTTTTCCTCTTTCTCCTCCCCCTCCTTCTCGTACCACTCCTATCCCTCCTCCCCCTCCTCCCTCCCCTTCTTCATCTTCACTTTATCCCTCAAAGCCACATCCCCCCTCGTCACCCTCTCCACAAACTCCTCATCCGGCTCAAAAAGCAAAACATGAAAATGTTCCACTGCATGAATACTTTTCAAACTCGCCCAGTTTAAAAACCACACCACATTTTCTTCTTCTTCTCCCTCAGCATCTCTTTGCCCCTCCTTCTCTTTCTGACCCTTTTTCTTCTTCTTCGTCATCTCCACCCCAAAAGTCTCCTGTACAAAATTGGAAATCATTGCTCTCGTCTGAGGGGATATATCTCCCTTTTCTGATGTGGGATCGGGAGGGAGGGGGAATTTGGTCCAGACGACTAGATGGACGATGCGAGAGTCGAAGCCGTAGGGCCAGTCGTTGAGGAGGATTTTGTAGTTTTCTGTAGTTTTTTTTGTTTTTGGGAACTCATGAGTTAGTCACTCGAACAAGCTTGCAATTACTCTGGAAGGTAGGTAGGATAGATGGTGATGACAAGGAATGAAATAATACACAAGTGCGGGAGGGAGGTAAGGTAGATAGGTAGATTCATCCGTATTGATTGTTGTTAGTTAGTGAAATATATCCCTCCTCCTTCCTTCCATCACTCAATCACTCACATCACCCACCCACCAAGATAAAATAAAATAAAAAACAAAACAAAAAACAAAAATATACACTAACCTGAATTCCCAAACATCCCATCTCCATCCCCATTCTCACCCTCACCCTCCCCCTCCGCCCTCACACCACCCCCATCCCCCTCCCACCCCAACCGCTCCCTCACCACAAACTCCCTCACACTCCCATACCTCTCTCCGACATCCGCGCAAAACTCCCTATACAAGCGCAACTCGCTCGGCACGCGTTGAAAGAGATCTAGTCGATTCTCGCGAATGAGAGATTGGACTTCGGGCCACGTTTGGGGTGTGTAGAGGGCATCGGGAGTGGAGAGGATAGTGCGGTCTTTGAGGTTGTGGAAAGCGTACTCGAGATAGGGAGGGCAGGTTGGGGTGTGTTGGGAGGGGGGAAGGTTGGTGTTCCACCAGAAGGGGTTGTTGTTGTTGTTGTTGTTGTTATTCTGGAGGGAGGACGATTTGGGTTTTGTTTCTTTTTGCTCTTCTTTTTCTTCTTCTTCTTCTTCTTCTTCTTCTTCGGGTGGTACCGAGTTGGTTGTCGTCGTCATTGTCGTTGTCGGCGGACTGGGGATGTCATTAGTGTCTCGGAGATGTAGAATTTGGTCACGTGCGAGACAGGAAGTGATTTGTTGACCGCATCAGGTACATGTACCTATGATGAAAAAGGGTCTGTGGAAATCAAAACAGAGTCGTCTCAGCTTCTACCGTCATGACACTCGGGTAATTATTACACTGCCTTTGGCTGTTTTGCCCTGAGATGACTTTGTTGAGCGCTTCCTGCGAACAGAAACATACCGTTGCGCAACGACTTCGGTGAGGCTGATGGTCGGGTTCTCGCGTGGATTTCGTGTTGGAACTGTCTGTCTTATCACGGGACGAGGGCTAGAACCACACCCCTGGGTAGCCGGGATAAAACCATTAGTACCTACATAAGGGAGCTAGGTAGTTGTAGAGCGAACAAGATCGAGACTCGTGCTAGGATGCTACTACCCGATTCAAGCTGTCAACCCCCTTTTCGGACAACCAACAAGGCGGCCTGTAGTACATGTAGTGGCTGTCACTGTCAAACTTGACATGTGTAGGAGGTGGTATGCGTGTGTCTGTGTACCTATTTGTGCGTGTGTATACCACCCTTTTTCCCTCGTGGTCGAACAACAACGAGAAAACGATAAATTGGCCAGAGATGCAGCAAATCGTTGGCCACGGAGATTCTGGCCAGTGGCAGTTGACGAGGTGGCTCAACCAGATGTTGGCCTCAGCGCTAAGCAGGCTCTTCCGTTGTTCCTGCAGATCACCTGGGATCAATCGGGGCAAATGAGTGGTCGGAGCTGCTTCCAAAGAGGCATGGTGGACTCGTGCGACCCTCCAAGCGCCGCACGTCTCCGACTCTCCGCTGCCCAAGCATCAAGCATAGGATTAGGGGGCACATACCACCCAAACCACCAAGTCCAACGTCCCGGACGGTTTTTTGACGCTGAGCCTGGAGGTTGGAGGCTCCTATATTCTTCCGCTCCGCTCTCCCCTTCTAGCCACAATCTGTCATCCTTCTAGCATATCGGTCCCCTCGTATTCGTGCTCCTCCCTGATCCACTAGAGGTATGATGATGATGATATAGCCCTACTTTGGTACACGGCATACACGCGTCTCTACGCCCTCCTCCCCTACGCCCTCCTCCTCCTCCTCCTCCTTCTCCCATATACGCGCATGGTGAGCGAGCGAGCGCGACCGGATCGCCGAGCGTAGCGGTAGCAGCAGTAGAGGAAGAGACGGGACGAGGTCAGAAACCCAAACGTCGGCGAGGCAGTTCGTCGATTAAGCTGCTCCTGAAACCGCAGCCATCAATAGTTCTGGAGATCCTGATCTCAGGGACGGCCCTGGCATCGACTGCAGGTCCCTCCTACATTTCCGGACGAACACCTGATCGATCGAGTATTATTGTGAGTTCCTGCATACCACAATCATATACTATAATTCCAGGACCGCACGGCATAGCACCCGTTCAATTGCCTTTCATTGTTAGTAGGGGACTCGCTGGACATATTCCTCCGGCATCCCTCCTTCGACTGCGATATTCCTACGCCCCGCCGGCTCCATCGCATGTGGCCTCCATCGCGCCTCCTAGATCCATCCCTGAGCCGCGGCTCCCGGCAGTGACACTTGCCCTTTAGTAGCAGCAATGCAGAGACCACCTTTGTCGCCGCTTTCGATGAGCAGCAACGACTCGTCCTTTGTGGGACAGTACGGCAGCATCGGCGGCACCGCCATGGGCACTCCCAACGACGTGCCCTACGGCTCGGGGGGCCCCTATGGCGCCGTCGAACACATCCAGTCGTCGCCCCATTCGTCGCAACACCAAAGCAGCTCCACGGACATGTCGAGACCGTCGGCGAGTGGATCGAGCGTCCGACCGCCCTCATCCGCCAGCTCCATCGGTCTGTCCAGCCATGGCCGCATGGGCCTTCCACGACCCCCGAATCGAGAGAGCACTCGAAGTCAGATTGCGCCTCAGAGTGAGGATGCGCTGTCGCGGCATTATGGAGCACTCAAGGCATACTTGATGGAGAGTGTGCAGGACGAAAAGGGCATTATCACCCCGAAAAGAGCGCGGGACAAGCTATTGCGACTGAGCGTTACACAGTTCATGGAGCTCAGCACTGATGTGTACGACGAGCTGATCCGGCGCGAAGACGAGAGGACACAGCGAGTGGATAATGTCCCGCGGTTCCTGTTGCCGAAGCAGAATTTCCATCCCAAGCGAAACCAGGCGCGGCAGAAGCTGAGTACACTGCCCACCGACCGCTTCCGGCAATTGGCAACGGACGTGTTCTACGAGTTGGAACGGCGGATACCACGCTTTGCAGGCTCACGACCCGTCAGTGGCGCGAGCAACGTGAGCACTCGGAGTCGCGCGCCGACAGTGTCTGGTATGCGCATCAATGCGCCTGGCTATGGCGGACCTCCCCCTCCGGGCATGATGGGGAGAGGCGGACCCCCTACTCCCCGGCTGCCCCCCAACGGCGCCCCTTATGGCCCCAATGGCGACATGTCTCCCGCTCCCCGGCGACCGAGCGAAGCTGCATCTCTGGGACGACCGTTACCGAAGCAATTCGCGAGCAACACCATTGTGCCGAACAAAAGCACCATGGTGGAAGACGATGACATGGAAGACGACGAGGATGCTTTCGGTCTCGACCATGTGTCTCGCGGCATGAGCGATGGCTCGGGCCATGCGACCAGTGCGGAAGACAGAGAACGTATCAAGGCTCAAGCAGAGGAGATTGCGGAGCTAAAAGAGAAGTTGGAAGCGCTGGAAAGCAATTTGAGTGCCAAAGAGGAGGAGCTCTCCAAGACTGCCGGGTGGGAGACGGAGCGAAGTGAATGGGCTGCTACGCGAGAGCAGCTCGAACAGAAGCATCTCGAGGCGCAGACGTTGCATAATGCACTCGAACAAGAACTTTCCGAACTGAAATCGAAATCGAGAGACCACGACGAGCTGAAGGACCAGCACGACCGGCATATGCAAGACTTTCAAGAGCAGCTCGATGATCTGCAGGAACAGCTTGCCACGAAACATGAAGAGAATGGGAAGCTTCAGCTACAACTACAAGAGAGTGCTCAGGACACAGCAGCGCTACAAGAGTTACACGTTGAGCTCGATGCGCTACGGCAGCAGGTGGAAAGCAGCAAGACCCCAGTTCCCTCGGCCGATCACGAGCGGCAGCTGAGCGACATGCAAGAAGAACTGCGAACACAGCAAAAGCTCAACCAGGAGGTTCAGGAACAGGCGATGGTATATCTACGAGAGATGCGGGAGCTCAGCAGGCAAAACGACGAAGCTATTGAGCGGGAAGAGAAGATGGCCGCACAAATCACGCAGCTCCAGAAAGACAACGAGAGCTGGCGACAACGTTACGCCAAGGTGAAGGCACAGAACAAGCATCTTCGTGCTTCCACCATGGGCTTGGGGCTCCATGCGGGACTCGATACGGGCAGTCTGGTGCGACAGGAGGGCTTGATCTCCCAAGGAGGACTGGTACGGGACACGGATGTCGCCCGCTTCCAGCTTGCTGTGGACGAGTTGGTCAAGGTCGCGCGTCAAAACAGTACCGATGACATGATTGAGAGCGTCAAAGCCGTGGCTGTTAGTGTGCAGTCGATCATGTCGGCGGTTCGTGATGAAGGCTACCCATCCCCTGCCCCTTCACCGCACTCTCCCGGATCCACACCACAGACACCCAGTGTCGGCAGACTGAAGGCCAGAGTCACTGGCACTGCCAACAGCCTCATCACTGCCACGAAGCAGCATGCTGCCTCGCACGGCTTGTCGCCTGTTGCGCTTCTGGATGCCGCAGCCAGCAATCTCACCGCGGCAGTGGTGGAGCTCATCAAATCAGTTCGTATCCGGCCATCATCAAAGGACGAGCTCCAGGACCTCGAAGCAGTCAACGAGCTGGGATCATTCTATGACGATGGCCAATCACCCATTGACGGGGCCTCGCTCACGATTCCCGTTCCCCAATTCGGTCCTCGCGAAGACTCGGCACCACCACCACCTGCGCCACCAATGACTACTGGTGACAGTCCCCCTGGCAGTACCAAAAAGCCCAGTGCGGGCTGGTTTGGCTGGGCGGGCAAATGGGGTGATGGCAGCACGGAAGACCATCCCCAAGTCGACAGTAAGACTTCTTCCGCCAACGGCGCACCGCATCCGGCCACGATGAATGGTGGGCATGCGCAAAAGGCATCTATTGCCAGTAGTTCTAGTGACTATGATCCATACCGATAGTCTCGGTACCCGAGTCGCTGTGGCAATTCGACTGCAAGACGAAAAGAGAGAGATAAGGCTGGATGAGAATGATGTGCATGTTCTTGAAGCGTAATGTGTGACATCGCCTTGCATGGGTGCAATGTGTTTTTAATGTCTGTTATTGGCGTTATTGAATGGGCGCCAGTGGGACTGGGAAAGAGAATGGGCATATTGGGACTTGTCCAAGCTCACAGGCTGGCAAGAAAGGGGGGGGGGGGATCAATCACATAACGCGACGACGGCAAAACTCTTTTTGTAATGCTTTGGCGGAGAGGGGAGGAATCTTTTTGGTAATGATTACCCACCTACCACAGACGAAAAAAGGGACCACAAGTTTTTGAGACAGTGTGCTGCTACTCACGAGTAGGCCAGGGGTCTCCTTTTTTTTTATTTTTCTGGGGAAATGCAAGTCTATGGCTTCGTTGATGGGTGGTAGGGTGGTAGGATCTACCTGCCTCTACCCTCTCTTCCCCCTTTGTTTCTTGTTTTTGTTTGTCTTTGGATACAGACCACTCGGCACTGGGATTCAGAAGACCACCAGCGCAGCAGGGGAGAATGGCAGATGAATATTTGAAATGTGTAGGTGAGGTGGTCTTGACTCTTTTTTGCGCTGAGAATGAGAGAGAGAGAGAGAGAGAGAGAGGATTTTATTGTATAGGTCATAGTTATGGTTTATATGTAAAAAGAAAGAATGTCTTTTTCTCTTGATTATACTTTTATTTTAAAGTAGTAGTACAGTGGTATTTAAGTATGAAAAAGATGAAAAACTTGAAAAAGATGTCTTGGTTGAATTATCTGTTTCTTTCTAGGGGGGTAAGATGGAAGTGGTATGGAGGGTTGGAGGAGGGAGGGAGGGAGGTACTAGAAGGAAAGGAGGAAAGGAAGGGCAGAAGGGCTGATAATGAGTTGAGTGAGACTGTGAGTGAATCCTAAACGCACAACGCCGAGCGAGCGAACGGAGGAAAGTCTTAGTCCGGTTAGAGGAGTTGACGCCACTACCTCCTACCTCCTAGGAGGAGAGGACCAGTAAGGTAGGCTGCTTACTTTTACGAATTCGTCGGGGTGGATTGTTTTTGCTTATCGGCCGATTTTTCATTCCTGCTTGTATATACCTTATGTATAGCTTCTCTACTACAGGACGGGGATATATAAAGTAAAGGGGGGAGGTCTACAATATCTTCTTCTTGTTACTTTCTTGTATCTCTATCTCCATCTATATCCATATACACCACAGCACTGTACAGTACGAAATCGGTCCGTCAAATCCACCCATCTAGTCTAGTTAGTTTCCCGCTCTAACCCAAGGTAGCTAAAGTCCCACGCGCGTACCTCCTAGGAGGTAACTAGCGAGCCGTGCGATGCGTTCCACAAAAAACAAGGCTTGACGAGTTGCTTGAGTAGGAGATAAGCACAAAAATCCTTCCTTGGCGACTTCTTAACTTGGACTTGGGCCTGGGCCTTTTGACGAGAAGGAAGGATGGAATAGATAGATTAAATTGAAGAGAGGATGAAGGATGAAGAAGGATTGTTTTCTTTTTTTTCTGTATCGTGCGTGTTCCGTATTCTCGAGCCGTATCTCCCCCTTTTTGTGATTCGATTGATTGCATAATACCTAGGGTAAGGTATCTATCTATGCCAGTTTCTTATCAGTATCGTGGCGACCCCAAATCCATGAACAAGGCTCGGCGAGATGCGGCGGGACCTCACTTTTCTTGGTGTGGTGGGTGGTGTGGAACGGTAGATACCTGAATATTTTGGTTGTTTATTAATAAAGTGCTTTCGGACGATTCTCTTTTTTTTCTTTCTGTTTGGTTTTTGTGTGTTCTACTTGTTCGTGTTTGTTGTGTACCTTATTGTTGGACGAGAAGAACGACGACGACGACGACGACGACAACAACGCAGGCTTGGTCGGGGTTGAATCTTCCCCCGTCTGAAGGAAGAGCCGGATTGCATAATCAAGAACCATCTACGCACCCACCCACCCACAACCGACCATGTCCTCATCATCCTACACCTTCCACCACGACGTCGAAAAGAATGTCGGAGTCATCGACACAGGCAGTGCACACAGCGGCGGAGTCGTCACAGAAGGAGGAGAAGGAGAAGAGAAAAAGCACTCAAGCATTTCCTACACAGATGGAGTCGGAGGCGCAGTTCACGGCGAAAGTTTCGAATATGGCAATAGCTGGTATGCGAAAATGCAACGCTTAGCAGGAAAATTAAATGTCGAGCAAAGAGGAATTGAACGCGTACCGGAGAATGAACGGACAGATGATGGATTTAAGGCTTTGTTGAATGTGGCTACTATGGTATGTTTTCTTATTTCACTCCCTCTCACAATATTTCCCTCAAACACTAACCATAAATCCGAATCTGCAAAAAAAAAAACAGTGGCTATCAGCAAACATGGTAGTATCCTCCTTCGCAATCGGAATCCTCTCCAAATCCCTCTTCTACCTAGGTTTCGCCGACTCCATCCTCGCCTGCCTCTTCTTCAACCTCATCGGCATAACTCCCGTCTGCTACTTCTCGACCTTCGGCCCCAAATTCGGTCTGCGACAAATGGTGCTCTCGCGTTTCTGGTTCGGCTGGTGGGGAGTCAAACTGATCGCGATCTTCAACGTTTTAGCCTGCATCGGATGGTCCTCTGTGAATTCCATTGTGGGCGCGGAATTACTGCATACCGTAAATGAAGACGTACCGGGTTTCGCGGGGATTCTGATTATTGCGATTTGTACATTTGGGGTGTGTACATTTGGATACAAAGTTGTTCACGCATATGAATTCTGGTCTTGGATTCCCGCTTTCATCATTTTTCTCATCACATTGGGCGTCTTCGCGCACAGTGGAGATTTCGTAAACATCCCCTGGGAAACAGGAAAAGCAGAAATGGGAAATATCCTCTCCTTTGGAGCTGTCGTGTATGGTTTTGCGACGGGTTGGACTTCGTATGCTGCGGATTACACCGTCTATCAACCCGCGACGCAATCCCGGCGAAAAGTTTTCTTCTGGACATGGCTCGGATTGATAATTCCTCTGCTGTTTACAGAAATGCTCGCTATTGCCATCATGAGCGCTACTTCACCCGAATTTGCTGCAAATAACCGCTATGATATCGGTTACCAAACCTCCGGAACAGGCGGACTTCTCGGCGCTGTCCTCATCTACCACCTGGGGACTTTTGGAAAATTCTGTCTCGTCATCCTCGCTCTCTCCATCATCGCGAATAACTGCCCGAACATCTACTCCGTCGCTCTGACCGTGCAAGTCCTCTCACGCTATGCGCAACGCGTTCCGCGATTCATCTGGACGGGAATTGCCACAGGAGTCTACATCGCGATAGCGATTCCGGGCTACAGTCATTTCGAAACTGTGCTGGAAAATTTTATGAATTTTATCGGATATTGGTTGGCGATTTACGAGGGAATTTCTCTCACAGATCACTTCGTTTTTAAACGTGGGTTTTCGGGTTATAATCCTGAAGATTATGATCAACCGGGAAAACTCCCGCTGGGAATTGCGGCCATGGGCGCGTTTTGTTGTGGAGTGGCGGGGATGGTGTGTGGGATGAGTCAGGTGTGGTTTGTGGGACCGATTGCGTTGAAGGCTGGTTTGGCGCCTTTTGGAGGTGATGTTGGATTTGAATTGGGGTTTGCCTTTGCGGCTGCTTCGTATTTGGTGTTGAGGACTGTGGAGTTGAAGATTGTGGGGAGATAGATTAGAAAGAGAGTATTGTTTGTTGTTTGCAGTTCTGATGATAGATACCCACCCCAGTTTCCCAACTTTTTCTCAGAGACCGATCATCAGATACCCGTCGTTCGCCCTACCTAGGGAGTCTCTTTCTTTCTTCCAGCCAACTGTCTAATTGACTGACTGACTGCGTTTCTCACACACACACATCTCACATGAGCGCTTATGTGGTCGGTTGGTTCGGTTTGGTAGGGGCTGCAGTCGATTGGCTAATGCTGTCAGCGCACAAAATAATAGAGCTTTTATTCCACGACCTAGCGATATACGAGTGAGTGTGGGAGATGGGCTGTTTCCTTGAATCACAACTGGTCTGCGGTTGATAATTCACTGCTGTCATCGCACGGTCTGTGCTGGGCGTATTCACGTTTCATGTCGTATCGTGCCTCGTCACCGGTCTAATACCTAGTCCGGACACCACCTCTCAAGCCTTCCTTCCACAGACAGCAAATGCTCTTGTCTTCACACCACCTTTGCACCATCCAGGGCTTCAAGAGTTCTCGCACAGTTTCATATTCATCGACAGCACTAGCTGCTTCTTCAACCAGTTCCACCTCCAACTCGGCCTCATTTTTCTTCTTCTTCTTCTTGGTGGTTTTGACTTTCGGCCTAGCCTTGAGTTGCTTCGTCTCCACTCTCACACCTCTTTCATTCAACCAAGCGGTAAGGTCTTCCAGCACAATCGGGTCGTACAACAGTATCTTCTCGTACCAGCTAGGCTTTGCCATGTCGTTGCTCGGGGCTGTAGATTTGACTGTCGCTGTAATCTGTGGGAACAGTATCGGCATGGCGGCAATCCATGTAGCATCGTCGGGTTTCAGCTTTGACCATGCTAGAGCAGGCGCTAAAGTGTCCTTGGGCTCAGTCTTTTTGGGTTTGGATCTAGCTTGTACTGAAGGCGAAGCTACAACTTTCAGATCGAGAGGACGAACTCTGGACGGCGTCGAGGTAGCTCGTCTTCGAGGAGGCGAGGGAGTATTGAGAGGCTCCGAGTCAGAGATCTCGTCGATGTTGATAAAATCTGACGATGCGATTGGCTGAGAGGCCGAGAAGATCTTGCTTGGACTATGTCGATAAGCCTGAGGCAGAGGTTGTGATTCCACTTCGGCATTCGGACTGCAGCACTCGAGTCCTTGTTCTGGGGAGATGCCAGCTTTCGCGGCCTTCTTTGGTCGCGTTCTCGAAATCTTCTGGTGAGCCTTTGTGTTCGCTGGAAATAATGGCTTCAGCAAAGATGCTTTGTGCGGAGATGTACGCATTCCTGGAGAGACATTGGCGTCCAGTGCTTGCAGTGCACATCTGTCTCGTGTTGGCGAAGCAGTAGAACGTTTGAGCTGTGGCACCGGCTTCAAAACTGGTGCTGGTTTACTTTCACGCCTGCTCAATGGCACGTCCGAGCTAGAGTCTCCACTTCGTAGCATCATCCAATCCTCATCCAAGGCAACATGCGGAGCACACGAAGGATTGTCTGCCGCCATAGGTGATGCAGGATCTTCGGGCAGCTCTTCTGTCAGAAGCGGTTCGAGTGGTGGATCTGCTGTGTCGATAGCAGGAACCGGCGATGTGTAGCACAAGTCTACGACATCAGTCTCGGTCTGCTCGGGCAGGATCTCGTCATCAAGGTCCGGTATTTGCTCATCAAGTGGTAAAGTTTCTGGCGCAGACGTCTTCATATGTTGAGAGGGTTTCAACTCAGCTGCGGCCGGAGGTTGCAAGCCAGGGTGTACTCGTCGTGGCGCATCATTGGAAAGAGTTTGCTTCGCGGGGGGTCTGTCTTCCGCAGCAAGGACTTCGTTCTCATGATCTCTAGCAGCTGAACACCACAGTTCTCGCGTTGCTTGCCCACAGGATAACGATGTACCATGCGGTGCAGTCGGAACTCTGATGTAGCTCTTGCGAATCGGGCTGACGTTAGCATGCTCTGTTGACATGACTTCGGACTCGCTCAATGCAAGTTGCATGTGTCTGATGAAGGTTGGTGACTCTTTTGTACCAAGCTGGCTCGACGTGCCGAATAGAAAGTCCTGCTGTTTCTCCTGGAGGCGTGCTTTCTCTGGCTCATACAGCTCTCCGAATCTGTCGTCTTCGTTGAACCGAACTTTCGCCTTCGCTTTGGGCTTGACGGCCTTTTTGCTTTTTGCGTCCTTTGCATCATCACCGACTTTCTTTTCTCGTGGCTTTCGAGGCTTCTTCAACTTCACAGTTGTCTCGTCAGCGTGCACTGCGGGCGGAGCTCTGTTGCTATCTTCGTCCTGTGCTGCAAAGAAGGATGACACTGTTGCTTGTGGAGCTGCAGGACTCTCTTCGCTTCTGTATGCTTTTGTCGCAATCTCGGTAATTGTTTGTGGTTTCTTCTTTGGTACCTTCACCTTTTTCACCTTCTCTTTGGCCTTCACTGGAGCAGGGTCTGAACGCTTTCGTGATTTTGGTGCCGTTGTCGCTTCGTCCGCAAGCTCTATGCGCCGGCGCTTTAGCAGTGCCTCGCCTGACGCAGATCTCTCAGAGATTGTGTTGTCATTCTTGGCGTATGCGAGATCTCCGAGTACAGCTGCAAGTGACAGAGCTGGCCGATCGTCGTTTTCAGAATCCGCGAATGCTGAAGTCTCTGGTTGGAAGTTGGCAGATGCAGAAGTTGTGTTTTTGGCCGGAGTCCAGCTCAATCTGCGTCGATGTGCTCGAACAGGTGTAGCTGCCGGGTCAGAAGGAGAGGGTACAGTTGCGTTGGTTGCGATGCTCAATCCAGTTGTAGAGTCTTCTTGAGGCACTGCTGGCTGCTCAAAGTAGGTAGACTGCTTGGCGGTTTTTCTCCTGACCTGCTTCTTGGATACTGGCTCTTCTTCAGACTTCTTCGGCTTCCTGGGTGCTCGTTTGGGCTTCTCGGGCTCATCTCCATGCTTCTTCCCCTGCACTTGGGTGGCATCCAGACCTGCAAATTGTGTGGAAGCAAGATCATCGGAGTTCAGCACAAATGATGCTGATTTGGCCAATGGCCTCCGTGACTTCCTCCCTAGTGCGCGCTTTGGCTGCTGCTCCTCCTTCGGCAATGTTGCTGCCTTGTTGTCATTCGAGAGGTCTCCAGCTCTTTCTTCATCTGCTTTTGTGCCATTTTGCCGTGCTTCTGATTGATGTGATGTTGGTACACTCGCAGCAGTCGTAAGGCCGGTGGCCTGGCGGACGGGGTGCTTGGTGAAGAAGGAGGAGGGACTGGGCAGGCCGGGCGAAGATGAGTCGGTGATGGTGACGGTGGTGATGTTGGTCTGGTTCTGCGGCGGCGGCGAGGAGGAGGAGAGATGGCGGAATGGCGGGGGCGGCGGCGAGGACGAGGCGCCATGCGCCATGTTGATGTCGAGAGAGGGACGACGCGACCCCGAGAAGACGCGTCCGACTATTGCCCGAGGCCGCGGGGGACGGAAAGGGCCGGGGAATCGTCGGCAGCGGCAGCAGCGGCGGCAGCGTTCCTCGACGTCAGCTCCTTCTATTTCCACGAAAGTTAGCATTCATCCCAATCACACCACTCAAGACGTCCAGAGCGCAGTCCAGTCTATTCTTCCAGGCGCCAGGTGCCAGATATCCAGGATCGGAAAGCCATTATATCGTCAAATCGTACCGGACTTGGCCAAAGATGTCGGCTCTGCAACTCGCTGGTTCGCTACAGTATAGCTCACGGCCTTGGGGACGTGGTGGATGACAGGTTGGGAGCAGATACCTATGGTGTGCTCATCGAATATAGACCACCACTTGGTCCGGCGTAAGATTCGCCAACTTGACATATCATAGTGTGGCGAGTTCGAGATGTCGAAGAGGACAAGGTGTTAGTCCCGGTGTTCAACCAATGGCAGATCAATTGGAACATGTCGTGGGAGATCAAATATGTGATCTGTGCGTCGGAGCGGCCCGCGAAGATGTCTGCGACCGCAGCTCTGCCCTGCAAGCCATACTCTGCTGGTTGCGAACAATGTTGTTGGACCCAAGCGGGCTCTCTGGTGGTGGGTGACCGCTCTGATCGCTGAAAATCTGCCAGATTGTGGATGCTGGTGGCGAAAGTCCACAGCCTAGGAACCATACTTGATCTCGGAATCTTCGCAGCACATGTCATGGCTGTGTCTGGGAGATTGCGTGCAGCATACCGGATGCCGATCTACTCTCGAGCCTGTATGCAGAGATCGGATTCGCTGGCTCCATTGGTATCGATGCGGCTCAAAGGCCATGGTTGACACCAGATTCCCGGAAACGGCATTGGCGCATTCTTGTCGGACTGGCCGGTCACATATATGAAATTATTTTCCGGTCCCAGCAAGCTGTGTCTTGCCTTTCTCCCATGCTACCAACTGCGCATGCATGATTTGTAGCCGGATCCCAATAAGTGGTACTGTCGAAGTTCCATATGACTCGCAAGCACGGACATTTTTGGTTATACATCGCGGGCTTTTGAAGAGACCCGATCTCCTGTACCGGCGTTGCGTAAATCTTGGAAGCAGATTATAAGCCGTATCCTCGGAAACAGGTGTGTTGCTGGGTTCACACGCTTGCTTTACAGACTCTGGCAATCTGACCTGGTCGCGCCGAGGCTCCCATGAAAGCACGATGGGCTCTACGTGTCATCCGTGACTGGCAAAAGGCTCGAGGTAGGGCCTCTGACGAAGTTGGAGGGAGAGAGCGGGGCAGTCCTGCTATGGTCGCGACCACAGGAGCATGGTGTAGGCCGAGTCCACGGAGAGATACCGTGGAATAGGTTGTGGCGATAAGGTCCTGGTCGCAGCTTGACCATTTGGTGTAGGGACAACATGCCTTACCGACACGATTGTACCACGAAGAGCGCAGTGATTGCCAAAGCGAAGAGATGGCGGCGGGGGTAGTACAGATGTCGCGAATAAGCTTCCGGTCCATGTATTCCTGGTAGCACTGACGTGGTTGCGCTCCGGTTGTCATACTTGGTTCCAGAGCGATAAAGATCAGTGTACAGGCTAGGGAGTAACTTACAGATTCCCACCACTCGGCATCGGCAATGCTCAACTGAATGTCGAGCCTCCTCCAGATCAGTCTCCTCACACGCCCTTCGACCGCCTCTGCCAAAGACAACCACACGGGTCCATGGCCAGTGAGCCCCGTGTGGATCTTGCAGTCCGGATGCTCATGTGGTGTACTGTGGTGACACGCCTTGCTAAACACCACGTGAACGCACTCATGCAAGAGTGTACCAATAATACTCGTGGCTCTCGCCACAATATCCTCGGCAGGAGGCGCTGGATCAACGACTATCTCAGTCTCCCCATAACTGTTTCGCCGACACCACCCTTTGGCGCCCATCTCCGTGACCAGGCTGGGATCCCAAAGAAAAGTAATGGTGCCAACATGGCCGTCGAAGAGGACCTCATCAAAGAGAGATATCAGGTACTCCATTTGGCAATCCCGTTCAGGCTCCGTTAGGCAAAGAGTGCCCAGCTTCAACCATGTCCGATCATCCATAAACTGCAAAATTTTCCGCACCACGGGTCCCAGGGGCGCGACGTCTCGGGCGTGCGAGGAGAGGATGCTGTTGAGCAGCGTAACCGCGTGAGCCTCCATTGCTTCTCCAATGGTGCTGGTGTTTTGTCGTGGCGGGGAGGTTGCTGGTCGTGAGCGTGGCGAGGGGGTTCTTGACCAGAAGAGGGAGAGGAAGAGATCGACTTCACAACATGAAAACAGGCTAGTGCCAAGACTATTGAAACCCCATTCCCACCGACGGTCTATGCTCTCTATACTCACTCCCTACGGGATTGGTGGGACCAACCGCTTTATGGGGATGGATCATGTTTCTCCCGGACAGGAAATTCTACAACGGGGGAAACATCCATTCAAGGCACGGGATCAATCGCAGTACAGTACAGAAAGACGATTATGAACCAAAAGTTACAGAATATCGATGGCAGACAACAATGTCGACTCCAACGTGTGCTGCTGAACAACCACTTGAACGCCGCGACGAGACCACCTCCCGAGTATAGACAGACCCCCGATCGACCGCTTTGTATCCCATCTCTTTGTGACCACAAGTGGCTCCGTGTATTATCGTTATATCCTCCTGCGTCTATTGTTTCGGCAGCAATCCCTCTGCGGCTAGAGACTTACGATTAATCGACGGCAGCCTTTGATGCGTTATAGCACGAATGTTTCGGCAGCGAGTTTCAACCCTCTATTACCACAAGTTGCTGCACTGGCTCCGTGTATTGTCGGAGGTTTGCCTGCGTCTATTGCTTGGGCACCGATCCCTCTGCAGCCAAAGACTTGGTCTATTGAACGACGGCAGCTTTCGATGCGCTGTAGCAGGATTGTTTCGGCAGCGATCACTCTGCGGCCAGAGACTTGGCCACTTGGACCACCGTAGCCTTGGACGCATTGTAACAGGATTGTTTCAGCAGCGAATTCCATCTCTTGTGAACACAACTTGTTGCACTGGTGTTGAGCAATGTCGGCACTAGAGGTTCGCCTGCGCGCATTGTTTACGGCATCGATCGATCACTCTGCGGCCAGAGAGTTGGTCAGCTGGACCACCGCAGCCTTTGACGCGTGGAAGCAGGGCCGTTTTGACAGCGATCACCCAGCCAAAAGTTTGGTCAATTGAACGACGGCAGCAATCGATGCATTATAGCCGCCTGGCGCTGTATCTCTAGTTAGCAAAGTGGACGGAGTTGATAGTGCAAGGGGCAAAGATGATCGAAGTGGAGGGCTGAGGCAGATCGCGCTTGCTGGACCCCGGGCGGGGGGACTTGTAGTGAAGGGACCACAAGGGAGCAGGAATCTTGTGGTCTTAGGGATCGTCTGTGGTGCAGTGTTCAGAGGTCGTGACCGTCAGGTGTGACTTACCCAGATTGTACCAGCCACCATGCCCTCGTTTAACACATTCCGAGTTACAGGCAGAACTTGTAAGCAGCGGACTCTTCGCGGTCGGCATGTACTTTCGCCTGCATTGAAGGCAATGCTGTACTCAACGATGGCGATAGTGTCCAACGCAAAGTCTGCTGGTTCTGGTTCGCCGAATGGAAGCTCCCACTCAAAGCCCGCCTCGCGTCCCCTGACTCTGCCAACGCGTTCCGCCTCGTTTGGCCGCTGGTTGGGAGCATATGCATTGACTGGCCGTGGCAACTCATCTGAGTTCCATGAGCGCGCTCCTGTAGTTGTGAAACTACAGTGTGCAGCGTGACCTCCAGTCCCGCCATGCGCAGTCCGCTCCACTGTTGTGGAAGAGATCAGCGTTTGATGTGTGTGTGTGTAAGGAGGAGGGTTCGGGAGTATGAGGACTTACCTCCCAGATTTCAGCACCGCGAGTACCCTGGCACCGTCCGATTTGAAGATGGGACTTGTAAACAGCTCGTGATCCTGTGCTCTTCTCTGGAGGATAGAGTCCGTAGGCCCTGTGATGTGTCAGAATATGTGCTTTCGGCTGCTTTGACGCGAACCAGGCGAGAACCGCCGCGATGAGCGACCGGTGAGATGAAGGGGAACCATCGGGCTGGTGTCGTGATCAATTCTGTAAGACGGGGTTGCATGGCGCCACGAGTGAACGATCATGTGGTAAATCGCTGCCAGCGGATAGAAGGTGATGGGGAGGTGAGTGGGCTGCTTCTGCTATGTGTCAGCGCTCATTCTACCAGAAGTACAGACGAGTGATCATGTCCATGGGGTGCAGCGATATTCTGGCGGTGATTTGGTGGGTGCCTAGGATATTGCTGATGAACGACGATTCCAGCTTTGACGCGACGATGGGTCGGGATGAATTGACCATTGCAGTCGGGGTAACATGCAGTGCGGGCTCGTACTTACATCTCGTGCTGCTGTGTCTTGGCGATAACTGTAGCGATGCAGTCCATGATGTTCTCGGTGTCGAGAAGGGAAATGGGAAGCGGATGGAAGAATCTCCAGCTTTCATGTAGTATCAACAGCGCACAAAGCTTGGCTGTTTGAGCACGGTACCTGGTCCCCAACTTCTCCCATCGCAGGCAGCTGTTGAACAGCATCATCCAATTCATGCCATAGCCAACAGCGGCGGTAGGTTCATACCTCGTGGACCGTAGATGTAGTGTCTATAGCAACCCAAGGAGTGTTCGGACGACAGTATCGTCGGCTCCAAGCATGATAATCGTTTCGTATTCACATAAGGACATAGCTCATGGAGATAGCCATTGTGAAACAAGCTGCCCATATCGATCAATGTGAATTTCACCGCCAGTGTCTATCTCTCCACTACAGTTCCGTTTCTTCCACACAAAACACCAACACCAACGACGACGACAACGCTGCCGCAGTAAGTAATTCCCAGGTGCCCTCCCTTCTCCCATGCGCTCACTATGTCAATCGGTTCACTAATCATTCCATCGATCGACCAGAAAATGAGCCAGCAGCAAGAGCAGCAACAGCAGCAACAGCAGCAACCGCCACCGCCAGCTGCAGCGCCGCCGCCGCCACCACCACCACCACCACCACCACCGCCGGCACCACACCTCGGACCCGTGGCACTCGCCCTGCCAGCACTGCCCCCTCTCGCCCTTCCCCCTCCAGCACTGCCCAACCTCGCCCTCCCCCTCCCCCCTCCAGTGCTGACAGGCGAGTGTCCGTGTTGCGAGGTGTGCGGCTACGTGTGTGATTTTCACCAGTGGCGCTGCAGCCGGGTGTGGCGTGGAGTCCGGTACGAGGTGTAGAGATGGTGAGTCAACTAATCAGTGTGCTACTGTGCTTTTCCTGCGTCGGGTGTGAGGACCTTGCCAATGGATCTGGATCTGCTGTGGTATCGCGGAGATTCCGTTAATAGGAGTGGACGGGATACTGGAGGACGGATTGATGGACTCTGGACTCTGGATACTGGATACTGGTAACTGGACTGTGGCGAAGGACCTTCTCCGCCCAGTGGAGAAGGGGCGCGAGGCCGAGCTGAGAGATGCTTCAGGGGTATGGTATTGGTGCCAGCAGAAGAAAGGCCCTCGCGTTATGCCGCAGTCGTGTTGCGCAATTCGCTGTCGGTCGTCTCAAAGTCGATGTGTTTGAGCACCGATGCCCATCTTCTTTGTTCTGGTCCAGCCGGACAGATCAATAAGCGAAGCGGTCGACTTAACTTGAGTCTGGAAGACCACAGCCACTCTCCTGCGCTGTAGTCAATCTGCAGACAGGAGGACTCCAGCAAAGTGATCAGTCTAGAGATAAAATCGCCAAAGCGGGACTCCGCGATCAATCGACCCGTTGACGAGCGCCAAGCCAGAATCCACAGGGCAGATGCAACGCATCTAGGATGCGCATCGCAGAACTTCGATCGGTAGAGGCAAAGTCGAAGCTTTACCGGGCGCTTAAGGGCTTCAGGAGGTGTATCGCCAAGAACATGACGACGAGCAAGAGATGAATAGCACAGTTCAGAAGGAGAAGCCCCACAGCCGCTGCCATCGTCCTCGTCCGCTCATGTCCTGAGGGCTTTAACCTGGCGCAAAGGCGACCTGGCGCTGCGTGTCAGCAAACTTTGTGCACAGCGACGGGGTCTACAGGCTCTTTCTGTCCGCGCAGGTCAAAGATCCGCAGACCAATTGGCAGATAGGTTCAAGGTCAGGTTCAGTTTCAAGCGCTGGAAAGCTTCTCGGGGTCCACAACTCACAAGGGAGCTTGCATCGACAAGACTTTTGATGCTCGGCTGGCCAGAAAAACGATCAGGATCCCAAGCGAGGCAGGATTCGTCGAGGAACGACGAGAAGCTCTGAAGGACGCCAGGCGAGCTGGACGTCCTGGATGAACACCAATACGTGGCATACAAGACGCTATTTGTCTGACTGTCCAACCATGTCAATCGCAGGCCAAATGGGCACAAAGCCAGCACCCGAGACTGTCTTTTCCGACGACCAACCAGCTCCCTTCAGGTGGCCCTCAATCTGGCTCTACCTCTCTGCCTGCCTTCAAGAATATGTTCTTGCCAACCAACATGCTACGTCTTTCTGATCTTGTTCCTCGGCAAAAGTCTACACTGCGGACACAACCACTCTCCACTCGGCTCTTCGGTAACACCAACACATTTGTAATGGAACCATTGGAAAGGACAGTTGTCGTTGTCACAACCCACCATATCCCCAAATGAGACCTTTTGACAGATACAGTATATGGTCGTATCTTCGCCCTCTTCATCTTCCACATCCACTCCGCCAGCGACCAGAGAAGAGGAGAGTTCTGATTCGGCGTCACTGTCATGAGAAGAGGGGGTGTTGTTGCGGTCGCGAGCAAGTTGGCGGTGGCGTTGTGAACTCTTCTTCGGGCGCGACCGCGATTTGGTTTTGTTGGAAGGGGGTGGAGCCTTGGGGCGAGAAGATCCTCCTCCACTGGCTGTCGGAGTGGATGCGCTTATTGCGTTCATGGACTGGGCGGCCTTTTTGTGGTTTGCAGGACGAGTAGGCTGTGCGGAGCCTGCTCTGGAAGAATTTCCCGCCACGGCCGCAACAGCAGCTGGTACTGGAGTTCCTGCTTTGGGGGTTCCTGGACCAAGAGAAGATTGACGAAGATGGGAGCTCGCAGCAGGGAGTGCACCAATGGACTGATTCAGCCGTCGACGTTTGTTGCCCGCGTCAGAACTTCCCTCGCGTTGAGAGCGCGCCGAGGCAACTGGAGTTGTGGCACCTGAGGCAGTACCACCAGCAGCTCTGACCCCGGCGGCGGCATTTTGAGCAAGGCGGAGTTGAGCGGCGTTCGCGAAGTTCGGGGCACCGCCGGTTGAGCCTATATTGCCGGATACAGTTTGAAGAGGACCCGGGTTTGCTGCGGCTGCTACACCTGCTGGAGGGGCCACGCCACTAGGTGTAAGAAGGCTTGGACCTATCCAGTCAGATGGGAACTGTTCAGTCTGTGCGAGGCCCTTCAAGCCGATGTCGAGACGCTTGATCTGGCGATCGAGCACGATCTGGGCCTTTTGGGACAGACCCAATTTCTCCGCCTGCAGGATCTCGCACTTATCATAACAATCGTTCACGGTCTTGGAAAAGGCTTCTTCCTTTGGATTCTGGACATGGCCGCCGTTGCTCCGGACCCACTTCTGAAGCTGGGCGTCTCGCTTCTGGATCTCATCTTTGAAGGCCTGAATCTGGAGGTCTTTGGCTTGGATCTCTTCCATGAGATGTGTGATTTCTGCGGGGATGTTCGCGACTGCGAGAGTATCAGCTGACGTTTTTTCTGTAGCAGTAACAAGAACACCAACTGTCGTGGGTAAACTGTTCCAGGACAGACGCCGCATCCTCAGGCTGCGCGAGAGCGCTCATTTTCGGTACGTTACTCTTGGTAAAGAAGCACGGTATAGCACCTTTTCTTTGATAAGGCCAAGCGAAAGATGAAGATGCACGCCGATGAGGTCAGGGGATATGTTGATGGAACATCGTCTTCACATGCAAGACGCGAAGTGGCAAGCGCTGCCAAGTGACAGGGTCTGGCCGCTCCTCCCGTGCGGCCCGCTGAGCCTCTCCCGTCCTCACGTCTCAGATGTCACTTCCATCTCGCTGCCTGTCTTTCTGCCTTCCACTGACATCTCCAACTTCCACAGACCACCGACATGACCACACCAACATGGCATTCTATTCAGCGTTTCCAGGCAATGGAGGCTACAATCCTCGACCCACGAATGAGATAGTGCAAGCATACCAATCCCCCTCCTCCTCCTCGCCCAACCAGACACCAAACTCCGTCTACGACCTTCCCCCGCCAAATGCCTGCGGCCGCGACCTCACGCCAGACTATACTACTGAAGATGAAGAGTCGCAGTTTGAGCGAGACACAAATGCAAAGATCATGAATTTGGTGGACCGCTATGGCATACAGAAACCACAGGGCACAAGCGTGTCTTTCCACTACAACAGCCGCGTCGAGGAAATGCACTTTGGCAGAACACATCCCATGAAACCCTGGCGCTTGACTTTGACCAAGCATCTGGTGTTGGGCTTCGGCTTGCAGTATACCATGGACACATATGAATCTCTCCCCGCTGGCAAAGACCAGGTCTGCCAATTCCACGACGAAGAATACGTCGAATTCCTCTCAAAAGTGTCGCCTGAAACGTTTAAGAAGCTGTGCCAGGAACCACGCTTTCAGAGGAAGATTCCACACCCACACGAAGGCGATCACGTCGAACTCGGTCCATATAACCTGTCTACTAGCCCAGGTGCTGACTGTCCCGTGTTTGATGGCATGTCTGAGTATCTTTTCCTCTACACGGGCGCCACTCTCTGTGCCACCCAGCAGCTAGTTGCCGGCAGTTCTGACATTGCTATCAATTGGTCCGGGGGCCTGCATCACGCACACAAGAATGAAGCATCAGGGTTCTGCTACATCAATGACATTGTTCTTTCCATTCTTGACTTGCTCCGAAAGCATCCACGTGTCTTGTATATTGACATTGACGTCCACCATGGAGATGGCGTCGAAGAAGCATTTGCAAGACAGCCGCGCGTCATGACACTTTCATACCACCGTTACGGTCCATATGACGACACTGGCCACAAGTTCTTCCCAGGCACAGGTGATCTCACAGACATAGGCACAAGAGGCACGCCCGGCGAAAGATTTGCCATGAACGTGCCTATTCCGTCTGGGATCGATGATCGTCAATATGCCCTCCTCTTCAACTCCATCACACGCTCTACCATTGAAGCTTTCAATCCATCCGCCATCGTCCTGCAATGCGGCGCTGACAGCCTCGGAGGCGATCGCCTTGGTCAATTCAATATCAACATCAAGCAGCATGGCGAATGCGTCCGCTTCGTCAAGTCTTTCAACAAACCGCTTCTCTTACTTGGGGGAGGTGGTTACACTGCACGCAACGTCGCTCGTGCTTGGACACATGAAACTGCTATCTGCACTTCCAATACTCTTCCTGATCAGATCCCCATGGATCTTATACCACGACCTCAGGCTTTCAAAGGCCGACCTCATGGTGACGGCAAGATGTATCCAAGCTTCGACCGACTGCACAAGAACGAGTGTAGAGACTCAGACCTGGAGTACCAGATCAAGTTTTGCCAAGATAATTTGAAATATGTCGCGAGGAGCCCTTGGGTCAAGATGGAGCAGTATCCAACAAACTCCAGGATGGATGAGATCATGGAGCAGAAGGACCTGGAGTTGAGTGCGAAGAAGAGGAAGACATTGGAGAGGAACCCTGCGGGGAGAGGGGAATACTAGGTGGCCGTAGCATTGAGGTTAAAAAGGCGCTATAGGATATACCCCCTGGCGATGATTGTTTCTTTCTGTAGATGAACAATGCTTAATACTGCACACTTCTCTACATCTCCCAGTAGCACCAGGCTGTTGCGTCACAACGAGGCTGAATACCGCCAACGCTTATGGCTCAAGAGATGAAGTCTAGGTAGTGAGCTACTCACGTCAAAAAACTCAAGCCTTCATCCTATATAATCCCCTCCTTCAAGTCTGCACCTCTACGCTCCTAACCATCCAGCCTACACACCAAGAGTCTCTTGAATCAGAGCAGAGCAATTCAGATACACCTGGCTGCACACTAACATTCAAAACACCCTTGACGTCGAAAGCAAACTTATGTATATCCTAAAGGCTTCGTCTTGAGAAGAGGATTGTATATTGTGGTCGGATAGGAGACTGACTCTATTAAAAATGATGAGCTTTGCTGATGTACATGATGGGACGCTACGACGAAGTGACTAGTGAGAAGTATATTTGTGTATGTACATGACCAGCAATTTCATAAGTCGTATAGAGTGATCGAACGAACGAAAGAAGTATATAAATCTACATGTAGATAAACCCGTTGGATGTTACGAGCAGGATGGGTAGAAATCTGCTGAGTGAGAAAGGAGGGAACTATAAGGCGAAGATGAAATAGAAGTTCTCTTTCTGCTTTCTTTGGTACAATCAAACATACCACTTGCTGCGACTGGAGGAAAGAGGGTTTAGAGCAAGGGCGTGGAGTCGAGATGAGTGGAAGTAGGTATTTTCTTCTCGGATAGGTTGTTATGCGATTGAGAAAGCTTTCGCTAAGGAATAGTAACTACTGTACTGTGTAGTCGTGAATTTTGTTTTTGATGTCTCTTCCGGGTCGCTTACCTGTTTGTTTCTATGCGTTTTTATTCGAAGATTGTAGGGTTGAGAGTCATAAAATATGTTCCACGCGCATCTGAGTGGTGTGTCTCAATGCAACTCAGTCTGAGATCAAAACCCTTCATATTCAAGACATGTCTTAGGTTCCGTCCATATGTATCCATCGCTATTTTTATTCTCCTTCCTCTTTCGTCTATTCTGCATTGACCTGCCATAGACTATCCAACGCGATCTCAAATGACATCTCAAACAGTCGTAGATTTGGAGCTGGTCGCTGCGAGGTGGGATGCGGATCGGTGTTTCGAGCTAGACAGCGAGTTTCATCCCTTCTTCACATGGCCGGAGGCGATAGAAGAACCTTCTCGCGGGGCTGTGGAAGAACTTAGTAGTGCGAGATGTCCTTCAGCTGTCCAAGTTAGCTATACCTCCCCGACCAAAGTTCGAAACATCGATCCGTTGGCGGGTGAGAAAATCTCATCACGAGCAACAGAAGCATCTGAACATCTCTCAGGACAAGCGACAGAATCCTCCTTCGGGGGCCTCCGCACACAGCTACCCACTGAAGCACAACCAGATTCCGAACTACAATCGACTTTCACCACCAATATGTTCTTCACGCCTCCAACTCAACCCTCTACAACCATGACGCCTCAATCAAACCTCTCTTGCCCCAATGATTTTTCCGCTCGAGGTTCCAGCCTCTCAGACGCTAGTCCTCCTATAAGAGCATATCAGAGATTCCTCGCGCAAGAGCTCGAAAATGCCCGACAGTTCGCCTGGTATCTCGAGCGTCAAATGTCCGTCCTGGAGTGGAGGGTTTCGCACCTTGAAAGCGTTGTACAGCAGCTGACGTGCTATATGTAACGATTCGTTGTACGGCAGAGGGAGGTTCGCGTCGCGCAGTGCTATGGAGCTGCTGCTGCTGGAACTGAGGCGCAGTCGGCTTGGAAAGCGCGACCGGGCGGATCGGAGAATAAGTCGCGAATGTTTGGATGGGGTCGGGGTGAGACATGACTGATGGTGAAGTCAACGAGTTGGGACAGTGTGGTCGAGATCTATCGGAGCAGTTAGTATTTAGACCCTGCTGCTTCTTTGGTGCTTTTTATCTCTGTTTCGCCTCTTTCTCTCTTGTTATCGGCCCCAATGGATAGCTGACCGTCGCGTGCTGATGGTCGGCGTGTCTTGACAGTCCGGAAAGACATAGTCGAGTCAGTCTCCCTTCTAGCAGCGTCCATCAAAAAGCCACCCACCCGCAGTCAGAACGATCAGGGCCCTTCGCGCGCCTTGTTGAGGGATCGGCTGTTGGCTAATTGCAGGCGGATTTGTAGGCGGACGCAACTCTCGGTGAGTGGAGGGAAGGGGAAGACGATTACAGGGCCATCAACTGTCGACACGGTATGTTAGCAGTATTTTTGTAGGAATAACTGTCCTTGATTTCGCGACGAGCTTCTCTTCTCCTACGCTATGTGCCTTGTCCTGCGCACTGTGACAGCCGAGACAAGGGCCTCTGTTGGGCAAACCGTTGGTGCGCTTCCCAGCAGCAATGCAGCATGAGCTAGTTTTGGGCTAAGCGTCGCCTTTCGTGTGCAGGTAGATGTATGGAATAGAACGCGTATTGTGATGAGCTGATTTCGACGGCTGGAGGGTACGATCTTGGCGGCTGCTCACGGTGTCTGTCTGTATCAGAACCGTCAGGATGTCAGTCTCTGGATATGCCATTATGCTTCTCGTCTATTGAGACTCACTAAGAACCTGCTGACTGGTTTCTAGCCGTGCTGATGAGGGACACTGCCGGACTAGTCCTCCTTAACGGCAGTCAGCTTTCGAGCATGAACTTGATGGGCGATGTTGTGGTTTCAAAGACGGCACTGTCGACACAATTCGATTTCCAAGGGCGTCTCTTGATGATTACTACGTGATTGGATGGACTAATGAGATCCTGACCGTCGGGTTTTCGTGACCGTCGCAAAAGACCCCGTTCGCGGTACTGACACAACGAGAGAACGCGAAAAGTTTAAGATCAGGCAGGCAATTGAGGAAATTGAGACAGCAAGTACAGTGAGAAGAAGATGATCAAATGGTTGTATTGATTCGTGCGAAGCTATGTGAGTGGGGCTCACTTGTCGGAAACCTTTTGAAAGAACCATCCGTTCTGAAGCGCTTTGATGCTCATCGAAAGGAACAACAGAAGCGCTACAGTGGTTCAAAGGACCGTCCACCCCGCCCCCCGGGTGGATTGATCTATGAGACACCTGGCATGCCAGAAAGTCAGCCAGCTGACTGCCTCTGGCAAACCTGTTGCTCGGTCTAGGGTCTAGGAAGAACCGGTCTAGGGTCTAGGAAGAACGCGAAGAAGATGATGAAGAAGATGATGGAGTAGATGGTGGAATAGATGGCAGAGTAGATGATCGAGTAAATGGTGAAGGAGATGGTGCGGTATATGATAAAGTGAATGATGACGAAGATGAATAAGAAGATGATGGTAAAGATGATGGTAAAGATGAAGATGAGGAATGGCAAAGGGGAGCTGCCTGAAGATATACCCAGCAACGCTAGCGCCGGTAGCTCCCATATCAAATAGAAACGAACAGAATCACAACAATAGCCATCGTACCTACCTTACGCATACATTGATCCCGTGAACGGCCCGCTAGCGTGAACGGGGTATATATACGTCCATTCTCTCCCTCACAACCTGAACCTTTTCTTCGACATGCTCACGGGGTTGCCCCCCTCCCCCCCCCCCTTGGCAGGTTATCCCATCCCCCATCCATGGATCTCCTGCCAAAACCCGTGAGCTAAGATTAAACTGTGCGGCGCCACTTGAGCAGCTTGATTTAGTGGCTGCTCGAGTTGCTATTGCAGACATGTCATGCCACTCGTATTGGTTTTCGGACCGATACGGAATTTTTTGAACCAACACAAGCACTTACTGCTTCTTCTTTTCATCATGTCTGTCGCCAAGAGCGCAGGCCTGGAGAAGAGACTGACCCTGATCTTTGACACCAAATTGACCGAGCAGTGTATCCAACGGTCAGATAGTCGTTCAACGTACATTCACGTCTTCTTCATGGTCTTGTTTACTGCCCCACCATCGGAATATTCCACCGTCTTCGCTGTTTGCCCTTCCATACCTGTCCATCGCTGCTGACAACCTCGCACCACCAATTTCGCGCTTCTTCCAGCAGATTTCAGCCCTCCACTCGTCATATAAAAACATCACAGACAACGACCAACAACTTCAATAACAACTACAACAGTCAAAGTATAACCCAATCAACCGAACGTATATCTTGAGAAACAGCAGACGCGCGAGGTACGCGAAGGAAACAGCGATCCCGTTGTGGAGGGCCCCGTCTCCTGTCAGAAGTGTGCCACCCGCTCTGGCTACTGCTTTCAGGTACCGTTTTGGCCAATTCCGGGGCGTTTTGGCTCGGTCCTCCCCTAACGTGTCGTAGATCCCCAAGTCCTTCAAGGGCACCATCGAATTCATCAATAGCAAGCGCTTGAAGAACGACTTGGCCAGTACCACGCCTGACGATCAGCTTTCGAATGCTACCAAGGCCAAGCTGGCCGCAGAGAAGCTGTACAAGACGTTGAAGTCGTATATAGCCCCTTCCGTCTCATTCCGGGCCATTTTGGGGCGTTACTGACCAAGCCCAGTAAATCTTTCCTCGTTTCAAGGAGTCAACAACCTTCACGTGCACCTTGATGGCTCAGAGATGCACGAATTGGGCCCTTGGGTGGACTCCGCCGGGCCGCGGCGGGTTTCAACTTGTCACTCTCCAGCTCACGGTGCCCGGGGGACGATGGTAGTGGGTGGAATCCAATGTCTGAGGAATTTCTGGGCACAATCGACTTTGGAAGAGATGTGATGGAGACCTTGGCGGCAGTATGCTCCATAAGGGGCGATGAATATTCGGGGTGGGTTCCAAGAACTCACCATCAAGCTCGCGGCGGACAATGGCGGTGCATGGAACCCGATGTTCGAAACCATTCTACGGCTACTATCTACGCTGTCGACACGGACTGAGCTCCAGCGCGGTCGGCCTCGTCAACCACGACCGGGAGGGGCACCGGTGGCAGCATTATACGGGAAGATGGGAGGAGGCTATGGTAGAGATTTGGAGAATGAATAGGGTATAGCCATATCATTGATATCTGGCTTTTGTACCTACACTTCCTTACCAACCGAAGGAAGATGCTAGGAGGCAGTGGTCAAGATTCAGATAATGAATAGGGTATAGCCATATCATTGATATCAGGCTTCTATACCTAGCCTTCCCTCTCAACCCAAAAGCGCACAGAATCCAAAATCCATTCAACCCGCTTTATTCTTCTGTGCCACCACATTAACCTGCTCCACAATCTCCTTCCACGCATACGGAAAATTTGAATACTGATCCACCGCCCGATCACTATAAAACATACTATGAAAACCATCCCTCTCCACACTCAAAATCGTCTCAACATCCCTCTGAATCAACCCCGTATCATTCCCCGCCTCATAAATCAAAATCGACGATTTCCTCGCATACTTCCCATTTCCATTCCTTACCCCAATATCCGGAATCGCCTCATACACCGCTTGCGTATTTTCCAAAATGATTATCACATCCGCGATATCAAAATACGCCATTTCCGTCGCAGCGCCCGCGTTAAAGAAGACTGAGCCTCCCGTTTTCGTCGTCAAGGTAGATTTCGCATGGGTCGTTAAATCTGTCATGTAATCTAAACAAGCCCCAGCATCCTCTCCGGGAGATTCATCAATAAAAATCCCATCGACATAAACTTCCGGCGCAAGTGTACTCCAACCTTCACAACGCGCCGTAGCCCAGGCGGCATACATGCTTATATTCCGTTTTACCTCGTCGGCAGGTGCAGTGCAGGGGCAGATATCTGATCCAGAGCTTCCGCAGTTGTAAAGATTGGCAGTGTGGACGTAGCCCAGAGTGTGGATGTTGGGGAATTGATGGAGAGAATTTAGGGCTTCGATGAAATCTTTGTTGGGGCAGTTTGTGATTGTGGAGGAGTCGGGGCCGTTGGAGGGGTTGATGATGGCGGTGAATGTTATGTCGGGGTATTGGGTGGCGGCTGTGAAGAGGGGATTCCAGGCGTTGTTGAGGGGGTAGATGTAGAGTGGGAAGAGGAAGTTGGCGTAGACGACCATGGTGATGGATGGAGTGGTATGGGTGTCTTTGGGTAGATTTTAGGTAAGGTATGGTTGGAGAGAGATGGCTGATGGGCTCCTCTGTGCTGTTCTAGTCTGGGAGTGAGACGACGTTAAGTACCTGACCTAAGGTAGTTTTTACTTTTCTGCAGAATCCTGCGACCCACCCACCTTTTCTGCCATCCCATCCTTCTCACAAGTTGAAGTTGGATTAATCCGCCGCTAACAAAGTCTAGACCACACCAAGAATACCTATCATAACCATTCTTGTCCTACCATGAAACCAGCCACAATATAAAACGCAGATAGTGGCACTAACACCACTGGCCCAGCAACAAATGCCACAATGATAACTTCTTGGGACCAAAATCTTGGACCTCCTCTTCAGACGCCCCGAAGGATTTCAAGTTGCACGTCATACGCCACGGCGGAATTAGTGTACCTAGAGTCTTGATCTTCAGCGGAAAATAGCTCCACTGTGGCTTGGCGATTGGCGCTCTTCTTGTATAGAGTCGGGCAGCATTAATGGATAAAAGACTAGTTCAAAATTCACTTCGTTTGGCGGGTGGGAACAAGGGGCTAGTTCGATATTCTATAGTATACAACCGTTAGCACGGTTGTCGGTATTGGAGTTTTAGCGAAGCTAGATGAATTGAATGCAGATGTATTTCCAATCCTACCTTACGCATACATAGGCATTTACGGATCTCTACAGCTCCTCCCTAGAGATCTTGCAAATCTGACCCCTTCGACATTTCCACCCGATTCGTAAGAAACTATCCCTCCAGAGACCAATAACTATACATTATGCCCGAAGGAGGCGAATACCTGGAGCTAGCAATCCTCATCTTTCTCGGGCAAAGCTCTCGCATCTAATCGTCCCGGCCCCGAATACCCGTCCAGACATCTGATATCCAGTAGAGTAATGATGCATAAGACTATCGTCTCACATCAGCACGCTTCGTGTAGTCAGTCCTCGTACTTGTCAAAAAGAGGTCGTGAGCCTCGAAGAAAGTCGACAGGAGTAACACGCCAGCAATTTTTCGTTAATCCGTGAAAATGTATGTATAGGGTTTCTTCCAAGGTGCCCGTGAAGTAGGTATTAGCAAACAGGTACCTTAGATACTCACTGTAGAAGTAGAAAGTCTGTACTGCTCTGTTGCGATATTGAGAATGGGGTTGGATGATTGGTTATGGTCTCGTGGAAGTGTCTGTTTGTTCTTCTGGTTGGCCTGGGTTTGCGAGTCTGTGAGGTTGTATACACTGGGTATCTGTTTATCGGCATGAATTTGCCGTCTGCAGAGAAAGAGAGAGAGAGAGAGTGAGAGAGAGTGAGAGAGAGTGAGAGAGAGAGAGAGAGAGAGAGAGAGAGAGAGAGAGAGAGAGAGAGAGAGAGAGAGAGAGAGAGAGAGAGAGAGAGAGAGAGAGAGAGAGAGAGAGAGAGAGAGA